GTTCCCTATAATTTTTAAAATTATCAAGGTTCTTAGCAGAGGATGCATTTTTATCATGTACCTATAAAAATCCTTATGAGTACATGTTTAAAAAACAAAGTCATATGTACAAACTATCACAAAAAATACAAGTACCTTGTGTAGTGATGGAGACCTTTGAATTTCAATTGAAGCGGGTAAAGTGTGATCATCATCACCTTCTAAATTTACAATCATGTCATTAGCACATACACTTTTATTTCTCACTGGTGAAATGGAAGTAGCTTTCAATACTAGATCAGAAGAAATTTGTTGCTTTTTCTTAGGATCGTCAACAAAAGAGCATTTTCGCTTGATGATTTGGGTAGACTCTGCTGAATCCTCCGATAATGGTGATGACTAAAAAAAAGTGAGCTTTGACATATATCAAAAGTATTAATTTAAAATTTAATTATACCTTATTTTGCTCAGAGCAAAGGGTATATAACTTCTTTACTTCTTCAGCAAAGAAGTTATGATATCCCTCTTGATACCAAATAACATAACCATTAAGGGTCTTCCCCATGCGACCATCAGAAGGAATGATGAAATGCTTGTCGATCCCTAAATGAAAGAAAAATCTCCAATAGCAGTACATCATGCGTAAGGATGTTTCAATACGTGTGCATGACAAACTAAGATCAGGAACTCCTTGATCATAACCAAATTGACGGGCAAACATATGAGGATTATATGGTTCAGTAAAGAGCCTTTTTCCCATCCTAAGAGGAAGTATACCTTGGCGAATTGAAAGAAAAATTGAAAAATGAGAACTTGATATCTTTTGCTTCGATATATCCGCAAGGGAAATGGGGTTGGAAGAATGTGAAAGTGGATAAGGTCTCCATTTAAGTTTTTCATCATCTCCTTCATGTAAAAAGTTCCTAGCCTCTTTAGCAGAATAAGGGGACCCTGAAGTTTCTACTCCTGAAATTTACAACAGTAATGGAGTATCTGATCTATGATTTGAAGAAAGAAACTGCCTTTCAATGTCATCTTCAGGTAGCCGATCATATAAATTAGGAAAATATTGGGAAATCCATCCAACCAGATAATGAACTGGCTAATTGCATGATACTGCCAAGTGATTTGTAACCCAATAGTTAATTTCTCGATAAAGAGCGCAGAGCGCCGAAAAGCCAAGGAATAAGGTTTTCTACTATCAGCCATTCTTGCAGCCACAACGAACACATCGGGTCTGATATAGGTTAAGTCATAAGGAACTACAAATTTGCATAACCATAAGGTGAGAAAAGCTGCAAGTGGTGTGTTCTTCCCAAAAGTCTGAATACTATCAAAAGACATGTTCTTATGTTTTCCTTTAGACTTGACTTTATGATGTTGCCCATGAAAGAAAAATTTCATCCACATTTCAAAAGAAACATTGTCTACAGGACTAATACTTCTAAGATATTGATAATAATTCAGCAGTGCTTTGAGGGGTTGACCATGCTTTACTTCAGGATCTTCAAGTTCTTCATTTGTGGGTACATATTCATCATATACTTGTCCCTGAATAGGAAGACCCCCAATCCTCTCTATATCTAGCAAACTGATAGAAAGATCTCCCCATTTTGTAGCAAATACATTACGATCTTTATCCCAACACTCTAAGAAAGATTGCAAAAGCTGAAAGTCAATATGATAAACTCCAAGAGATGAAAGTATAGCACCGTAGATGTTAAGACGTTCTAAAGCATCAGTGTATTTTTGCAATAAATATAGGCACCAGTCATTATATCCATCAATCATGAGAGGTTTATTTTCTCTTACATCCCCACATCCTTTACTTCGAGCGATAAGTTCTGTAACAACCGTAATTTTTCGATACGTATTTTCTAGTATTTAAAATATTATATTATATTCTATTAATATTTTTCCTAATTTCTGGAATTTTCTGAGTTTTCAAAATAAATAAATGAATAAATAA